CATGTGTGGGTGTACAGTAAGAATAGTTGTATGCGTCAGTGTGTCGTCTTTGTGCGTCCCTTCAGATGCTCAGCTGTGTGTTGGCAGCTGTGTGCCTCCCTTGAGTTTTTCGAAGAAACTTGTTTGTTGTTTTGGCCTTCAGCTTTTTAAGTTCCTCCGCCAGTCCTTCAGTCTGTCAGGAGAATAAAAATAGACAAACGCCCGGCAAACGTGTCGCCACCTTATTACTGCTTCAACTTACGCTGCAGTCCTGTCATCCCAGTCCTGTAGCTAATTGTTTTTACATACACCAATGACCTTAGCGTGGATATTAAATACCAGTGTGAGGGGTAACAAGGCAGCCCTGGTTCATAAATATATTTTGTTGATTTGCATTCAAAGCTGAATGTGCAATATGTGTGCACAGATTTTTTATTTTTTTTTGCTTCGCCCTCAGGCAACTTCCCTTATATTATAGAAAACCTACAAGTCCTTAGTAATCAACATAGAGAGGGCTGATCTATAAAGTGTTTTCCATTTCCCCCAAAATAAACATGTGAGGAGTCATTAATATTTAAATCGAGTGCCCTTCAGCATTCTGTTTCATGTGGAATCACGTTAAATTGCTGCAGAAAATGACAGTTTCAAAGCAGTTCTGTTGGAATTTCGCCGCTGTGACGAGAGGCCCTTTTTTTTCCACAGCAGATATCACAACAGGAGAAGCACAGATGTTGCTAATGATGACTCCATTCTGCTTAAATGGCCCAACAACCAATGGCGACGTGACAACGAGCCGGCATGCACGACACCGAAGCAGCCAAATGACAATCGGCTATCGGTCATTTTTATTGTTTTCACCTGTGCAGCTGAAAGCCCTGAATGTTGTAGCGCTGCTAATATTTTTGGAAGACAACGCTGAACTGTGTTAACTGCCTTACTCCCGCCTCAACCCATTGAATGACAACATTTCATGGATGGTTGATTCCATGTGGTGGTTGTTTGACCACCTCAGAAGCTGTTGAGTCTTTGTAGGAATGATTTTTGGCTTCTAAAACTGACATCTGCCATTTTTTTAAAGCTGAAATTCCAACAGTTTTATAGTTTTTTTACCCAATAGAAGTTAATAGAGCAAGATGCCACCATCAGATGTCCGTATCTCTTGACGTATACGTCCCAGAGTCTTCACATGTTCAGGAGATGTTTGGAAGTTTGTGGTGTATGGAGAGAATGCAGCAAATTCTGGTAATCGAGATTTTGTTTTTTGCTTAAAATGTCCAACATTTGCAAGCAAAGCAGATTTTTAAAATCTGTCACGCATTGGATCTATTTCATCAATTTTATTGCGGGAATATTGTCTGAATGACGTCACTAATGCTTAGAAAGGTTTTGTATGTGAGTAGAAATGGGAGTTATAGCCAATCAAAGTTTTAAAAAGTAATCAATTTCCAAACAGCCAGATGGACATCTTGAGTCATGGGTAGGCTGATGAAATTTAGGATAGCAAGAGATGGAAGTATCATCTACTGGTGTGCCAAGTTTCAATATTGAAGACTCGAGGACATTTATTTCAAGAGATATGGACGTCTGAAAGTGGCGTCTCATTCGGTTTCCATCTCGCCAGAGATTTATTAAAAAATTTCTGTTGGGTAAAAAATTATGAAAATTCAGCTGAAACATGGTCAGTTTCAGACGCCAAAGATTATTCCTGTAAAGTTTCAAGAGATTCTGAGGTGGTCAAGCAACTGACTTCCCCTAATCTCGCTGAGCTGACGCAGAATGACCCAGACTGCTTTAGTCGCTCTATTCTTTGTGTGAGGTGGTTACAGGTGTGTTTACAGAAATGTCATCAACAGTGCTCATTGATTGTTCGTTAAGGGTGGACCAACAGAAGTCTTGTTAACTTTTAAAGCTGCAGTGATTGACTTCCTGGCTACTGGTTGATACCCTCTTTGATATGCAGAGATTGTGTTGTGTAGCCAAAACCCAGCACTCAGCATCACATGTTAGCGCCCAACGTTCTTCTTCAGACACCTCAGGGCATCCCAACTGAAACGCTGCCTTTACAGTCCCACTTTAAGGGATTAACTCAAAGTGCACAGGAACATTGAAGTTGAAGAAAACAACAAGTGTGCTCCTGAACTCACGTAACCTTTCTGATTTTGGAAACTGTCGCACTATTACGGTGAGAACAGACTCACCTTTCGTCACCACTGATGAGACTCTCCATGAAGCTCCTGGCTGCTGATTGACACATAAACTAGTGTTTTATTCTCTGCTCCAGTTGGACGATCCATGGAGAAATCGCAAAAGTTCACCCAATGTGTGAACCAACACAGGTTAAGTAGCACAGCGAGCACATTGTCATGACTCGTGACAGTTCCTGCTTGCACATATTGAACATGCGCGACAAGGATGCACCAACAGTCTCTGAACTTTCAACCCCCGTCAGTATTGTGTTCACTCTGCCTGTAGTTACTCTGTTGGGCTGGCTAGTAATTTCCCTGCGGGTTCATCACTGTGATCAACTTTTATCACACAGTAATCTAGAATCTTGCCTTTGATTAGAATGTCGCCTCACAACACAGAGCGCAAAACCAGGCTGACGAAACTAAAAATCTAAATCCAAAGAAAACAGATTTACTTCAAACTCAACACTGTGCTTCCCCTTGTCCCCACCCATACGCCTGCTTAGACATGGATGCAACGTTTGTTTATCAAGGTATACAAAGAACAGACACTCATATTTGTTCATTTGTGAGAACATACAGCACATTGAGGATGCAAAAATCATGATCACAGCCGTCACAGAATATGTTTTTTTGCACATCAGGCTGCGTTACATTCATAGACTGTATAAAAGATGGACGTAGCTACCGTGACGTCACCCGTTGGTTTCTGCACTGAGAAAATGAAGCCAGGGTTTTGCTACTTCCTGGTTGACATCTTGGATTTTTGGAGCCAAAAATGGTCGGAGGGGGGCGGAGCCATAGGAGCAGCGATTGGTCAGTCGGATTGAGAGGCGGGCCCTCTCTGCCCGCCCACATTTACCGCCTTCTGCTCGCTTCGTCGGCATCGTCGCTGCCGACTGTCAATCAAGCCAGCCACGCCCCTTGCCCCGCAAAATTTTGACGCGTATTGATTTATTTTCAGATTGGCCACCTGATCTCTGGACTTGACCATGAAAACTAATAAGAAAAAAATCCTGAGCTGCAGGAATGCAGTATTTCATGATCTGTGATCACTTCTTTTCCAATTCAAGTCTATGGGAGCCAGGGCTTTTTGGAGCCAGCAGCTAGCGGACGTAGTGATATTGCAGGTTTTTGACACTTCCGGGTTGGCTTCATTTTTCAGGGCCGGTTGCTACGTCCATCTTTTATACAGTCTATGGCTACATCGTGCATCTTAACAGTCTACAGATTGTGGCAAACCTCCGAAATTATCAATTTGAGCGAGTCACCATCTTTCTGCAGCATAACTCACACTAAAGTTAATTTAGTTTTCAAAACTAACGTCTTTGTAACCTGATCACGCCCACGCAGCTAATTGGCTCCTTAATCTTACACGAGCTAATCGTCTTTACGGCTACCAGTTTAATTTGTAGGTATTGACTACATTGATGTTGATGTAACAGGTTCTGTTTTTTTGTTTTTGTTTTTGTTTTTTTTTTAATAATCAGACTTTGATAATGTTAACATGAAAGTGCACTTATAAGAACTTCAGAGTGCATAATCACGCCTCATTTGAATCAGTTATCAACCCCCCTGGTGGATGGCTTGATTTGATGGATTCCAGTGCTGTGTGTGTTTTTTTTTTTTGTGTCTCTGACACACTGCGCTTATGTAAATGCAGTTAGTCAGGAAAAAAGAAAAAAAAACATTACATGTGTTTGACTTCCCATAATTACCGCGGCTCCTTGGGGAGAGATTTAAATGCTGGTGATTACTTTGTTTGATTACTTGCGCTGTGTGTGGGTATATGCATGGCGTATATGTGTGTGTCCTGGATGCACAGAGTGTTTGATGAGCATATGCGCGCGGGAAAACGACTTCGACGCCGTCTGCGTCGACCTCTGCCTCCCCGCTTTGACCTCGTTCACGTACGCGGTTTCCTGACCTAAATCGGTTTGTTAAAGTCGACAGTGACGAACGAGGACATTAACGACGCACTGCCTAACCCAAATATCCGGCCTAAACACCGACGAGTAACGAAATAGAAGCCGAGCGAGTTAACTTGTGAGATCTTCATTATCGAAGCCCCTCAAAGCTTCTCCCCCTAAAGGCAGGAATCGAAAACCTTTTCCGACAAGAAGTGTTCACGGCGGCCGATGTGACGTAAGCCTGTCAGAGATCTGCCTGGTCGGTGTGAGTACAGGACGGATACAAGTTTAATGATCCTTGTTGAAGAGACACCTTCTCTTTCACCAGACCAACAACTTTTGATCTCTTCAGACCACCTGATGTATGTCCTCAAACCATTTGCTGCTTAAGAAATGACCACTTCCTGTTTTTTCTCCCTCTTTGGGAGGTGCTAGCACAAATCCCCGAACTGAGAAGGGAAAAATTAGCAAGTAGATCCCTCCTAACCCTAAATTACTGCAGTGGATCTGCCTTTGATGCAGCTATCCAGCAGCCAGAAGACAAGTTGTACCAAGCGGCTCTCTGCTGAATAACCATGCAACAGTGTGAGGGGGAAAAAAAAGCAGGAAAATAAGAGCAACTTCTGTTTTTTTTTCCTCCCCTGATCTTTTCAATGTGACTCGTGTGTGTTCAGATCCGTGCTGGCGGGTTCGAGTACTCCCCCGGGACTCTTCACATCTACTCCGACAGCCTGTTGACTCTTCCCGCCATCATCGGCATCGGAGGGGGCGGCGGCCTGCTCCTGCTGGTCATCATCGCCGTGCTGATCGCCTACAAGAGGAAGTCGAGGGACGCCGACCGCACCCTGAAACGTCTGCAGCTCCAGATGGACAACCTGGAGTCTCGAGTGGCCCTGGAGTGTAAAGAAGGTAGTTTTTATTCCACTCTAAAACTGACCACACTAGAAAATTAATGGTCAGTCAAGAGGTTACACAGGTGTTTTGAAATTTTGACTTTTGCTTTAATTTTTTGGTTCAAAATAAAGGAAAAATAAATTGATTAATTAAAAAAAAAAAAAAAAAAGCCCATATTATACCCCTGTAGAACAAGGTAATCCAAGCTTCACATGCAGGATGTGCATTTCCATCATTTTCAGTTTAAAATAGCCCACTAGTTGTTCATCACATCTTTTCCTGCATCTGACTCAGTGGCAGAGAGGAGGGGGAGGAGTCAGCTGGGGGCGGTGCTTATCCTGTTGTGACATCACAACAGGCCACAAACACTTTCTGATCATGTTTGTGGGTTTCAGGATACAATGAGGACATTCAAATATGTTCATAAACAATGAAGAAGTAATTTTGTATATTATGTTCCCTCTGAGTACAGTTGACAGTACACACATTGTATAAAAAGACATAAAACCTTTTTATTTTTTATTTTTGTTTCACTATTTGACATTAAATCAGACTCAACCATTTCTGTTTTAGGTCAGTTAGGATTACCAACATTATTTCTATTTGCTAAACACCAGAATAATAAGAGAGATTTTTTTTTTAGAGAATTTTTACTACTTTCTTCAAAGTCAGAAGTTTACAGACACTAAGATGCCTTCAAACTATTTGGGAAAGCCCAGATGATGATGTCATGTCTTTGGAAGCTTTTGATTAATTGACATTTGAGTTAATTGGAGGCACACCTGTGGATGTATGTTTATACAGTGTACGTAACCTTCTGGTTTCTACTGCGTATGTGTGTCTTGTGGTTGAAAAGGTTATTTTTTTATCACTAGAAGAGGCAAAATATGATTTGACATTTACAATAATTAAATTGTTCAAAGAGCTTGATAAACAAGCTAGTTTGCATAGTAGATAATGTATGCTTTTTTAAATTATTTAAATAACATATTGATGAATCGTGGCATTTCTGAAAATGCATGTTTTTTCTGTAAACCATATATGAAGCTAGAGCCTGCAGCTGGTTAGCTTAGCTTAGCTTAGCTTAGCATAAAGACTGACAGTGGAGGGAATCGAAACTTCCCAATCCAACTCTTTTCTTTTACATCTTTTGTGAAATCACACAATCAGATTTTTCAGTTCTTCAGGCAAATCTCTTCCACGTGGAGCCATGATGCAGCCCATAGGTCCAAAACTGAGAAAGGTTTTGTTGTTCGCAGATCATTCTATGACTGTACAGGCTGGTTGGAATCACAGCTGTACTCAGTTTAGTTTTAGCGATCACAGATGTTTTCACTTTTGTTGCACTGAGCGCTGAGTATTCACTTCAGGGTTTGTGCTCAATTCAATCTAGTCTTTATAACATGTTTGTTTTTTATTATATATATGGTTTTTAAATGAAAATACACAGATGATACTGCGTTATACATACATAAACAGGTAGAACCTCGTCGGTTTCGGCCAAACCTACCGTCCATACAGCTTTGATGAGCCCAACTCCGCCGTGTGTGTTTTCACTTGACGCACAGACGGCTGATAAATTACAGGAAAGCCACAATAAAATGTCTCAGTAAGATGCTGTTCCATGACAAGCCTTCAGAGCAGCTCTGATGCTGGTTTCTGCTGTGGGTGTGGGTGTCTGGGCCTCTGCAGGAGGAACGGACACCTGTTTTGATGATGGCTGTGCGGTGGAGAGCGCTGTCTGACATGTCAGTCATCTGTCTGAGTGGAAACACAGCCCTACAGCAAGATTGTCAGCAAGAAAAAAACAATTCACGGAAGGTAGCGTGATAGTACGAGACTCCATGTGAGGTCACGAAGGGGATTGTTTGCAGAGAGACACAAAGAGCGAGAGCCAAATGAGACAGAAACAAATGGACGAGAGGCTGAGACGGAGCTCCGGTGAGGTCGGATTGTGTCGATGCACCGACGGTCAAGGTGTGGACGCTCACGGACGAACTGTCACAAGGTGCAAAACGGAGTCGCAGCTCCATCAGCCACCAAGGATGAGCTGTCAAACCAAAACAAACATTTTTTTTTTTTATTTAAAGAGCTCCATTTGCAGGGCGATCAGTGAGGTGACAGTTTCCAGCTTCACATGTTGTCATTTGTGTTTTCCACGACTTGCAAAAATCCTGCTTTTTAGTCAACACACATGCAAAGCACACTCTCTCTTTTTCCAGGAAGTGAAGCATGGCCTTATTCCCACCCCCCAGAGCACCCCGCCCCGCCTGCTGCACTCCCAGCTGGCCTATAGAGACGAGACAGTGCGTGTGGGCGGAGGAACAGATGAAGTGGGCGGTTCGCTGTGCGTGTGATCGCCAAAGATGTGTGTGTGTGTGCGCTGGGCCGGCTTTGTTTCGAAGAGTCGTCGGGGGGGAAAGAGACGGGACGTTCGGTTCGGTCACGCGTGAGAAGCAGACACCGCCGCGTAACAATATCATCCTAACCGACGCATCGGCAGCCACGGACTTACACACTAGAAATGACAAAAAAAAAAATTGCTGATTGGCAAGTGTCTCTCTTTAGTTATGCATGATCATATAAAAGCACAAAAAAAAGTACAAATGGGCTTTAAAATTATGCAAATCCACATGCTAATTAAAGCACATGCAATGCTGTGGAATTTTTACCCTTCACTACACATGATTTGTGTAGATTGAGGCGTTTT